ACCCCCCTAACCTCTCCTCTCGAAAGACCCCGGTCACAGGTGCTGGCGAAACATTAGGAAACAAAACTTCCAGAACACGGCCACACAGCCTGGAAGACCCACACCAGCCACTGAAAAAGTATCTGAGTTTTTCAGATTGCCTTTGTTTTCCTTCTCATTTTATAATAACTGACATTTCTGAAGGGTTCTCTTCTCCTGAAGCTCATCAAGAAAGGCCTCCCCATTTCAAGAAAAACATTTCCAGGGATGGGTTCAGACAACACGTTTAGCAGGCTTAGCACCTCATGATCTCATTCCCACAATGATAGCTTGGTACTTCTGAGGCTTGGTAATCTGTATAGTCCCAAACCATTAAGGTACTTTATCTGAATCTGACTTCCAGAAAATGGGTCAATTCAGGAACCTTTAACTAAGTGAAGAGCCATATCTGAGCACCGCCATCAAAAAATATTCCACATTTTTGCCTTCTTCAACCCTTTGGGACTTCTTCAAACTCTTAGGTAGAACACTTTTATTCTTCCTAAATATGTCATCATCCTAAGGTTGTTCAAAGCTGTTTCAAAGAAGGTAGGCTGAAAACTGTCCCACCAGTTTTAATGTAAATGGGCATCATTTGTTTTCTCATAGCCCTTGAACTTCTCAGTAATTCTCCCCCATTCTATGAATTGTAAAACAAAAAAATATTACTGAGAACATTTGTATGATTCTTCAGTTAATCAGTGTAAACATGAAATCAAACACTGATGGCTGGAAAATCCGTGCTTTGCGTTTATTGTAATATAGGTACTTGCATGTACTTTATGCCATTCTACCAAAAAAAAAAAAAATAGTCATGGTATTTGCCATAATAATGGAAACATGGATTCCTGTTTTCGGATCTCTCTTCCAGATCTGGATAAGCAAAGATGAAGGCCATGGTATACTGATGCGATGGAAACTCTGGTCCCTTAAACATACTACCCGCCAGTGCACTGGATCCTGGAGATGCCTCTGGCATCCAGACAAAGAAACAGACCTAATTCTATTCAACCTGATCTTGATGTGATGATTTATGGACATCACCACCTGCTTCCAGATTAAAACCCAGTCCATCAGATTCTTACCCATCTGGTCTGAAACTTTTCCTCTTGGGCATGGAAGGCAATCATAACAACAAAATGGTTTCCCTTCCTTCTTGGTCTTGCTGTGACCTTGATGGCAGAGTTCATTACACAAAGAAAGAGGCTGTGCCTGGGTGCAAAGAAAGGAGACAAGGTAGCATACTTACATGTTGAGTTCATACTGGGACAGCCATGTAAAATTGGTTCTAATTAGACAATCAGAATAATGAGGTAGTTTGAGACAGTAATGTGCACAGAGCAAGTGCCTCTAAATCAATACATGAATTCTTTCTATCCCAGCCAAAGACCATTATTGCAATCTTGCAAGTAAATACATGAAAAAAAAAAAAGTCCAATTCAAACATTTGCACCCCTGCCAGGTTTGGAGCAATGGCTTTGCAGTGGAATTGTTTGGTGTTATATCCCACCAATTATCACCATTTGCAATATTAAATTGGTTACAGTTTCCTCTCAACATCTTGTTATATTTATCTTTAAAACAACAACAACAACAACAACAAAGCCTTTATGAAAAGGTAATGTCTTGTACTTAATTGTACAAAGAATTACCACCTTGGTAGGTACTTAAATCGCCCTGCTGCAGATTTTGGCCAGATGAGAGCTGGGTCACTGTACAAAGCTTGGAATCACTTCAACTAATTGCCTTAATGGGGCCACACAGCTTTTTTCATTATCTGCACACTGAACCAATGAGAGGGACCCCACCCTATATGCGAAATACCTGGTTAAATCTCCTGGGCCATCTAATGGCATCGACATAAACACTGAACTCTTGGTCTTTGGGAGCTTTGGGGTCAAATTTTCCAACTTTGACTCGATGGAGACTTAGATTTGGGAATGTGACCCAGTTGATAATATCAAATCCTGCTTCCAGGTTCCCATTCTGATCGAAGGAAATCATTTCCCCAACACTATTGTTAAATGAGACTTTTTGTAGATAGTGGTGGAGCTATATTGAAAGTGGAAAGAAAGATAAGCAATGAACTATGCAAAAATAATACAAATAATATAATAGAAAGTGAGAATATTTCACAAGGTAGAATTAGCAAGGATTATGCAAACTATCAATAGTCGCAATTCAGTATCACCATTGACCTGGTGTGGCATTAATGATTTACTTATAATGTGATGAAAAATAGAAGTACAATATAGTCCAACCAAGAATATCATCAGTTCTAACGATGCAGTCTGTACCACTACAGGCAAAATAGAAAGAAGAAATAGAAAAAGAAATGAAGCAACCTCAGGCAACAAGATAATTACCTATGATAGTGGCCAGCTTGAATAGAAAGAAATGAATGAAGAGGGAAAGGAACATGCTGGCATTGGAGCTTTCAGATGATAGGAGGGCCCCTGCTGTTCCTGTCTGTTAGTTGGGAATCGACCATAATCCATACAGTTAGCCTTCCCATAGAAATAAGTTTATTTCCTATGGTCTTTCCTCTAATGGTGTTTTAACACAAAAAAGCTATGGCTTTGGACCTGGGTACATAGACAGTTAACTAATAAAGTTAATCTGTAGCCACATGTTGGAGACTGAGGAACATTTCTGGAAGCTAGAACCTGGCCTGACCAATGATTAGTACAATATAATGAAATAAATGGTAATAAAAGCCTAGGACCTCTAGATAGCTAGAGTATATCCTACCAGGAGCATCTGCCCAACAGAAAACAGATTTGTTTAGAGGAAATATAATATAGGGTAACCAAATCCTATCATTACCTAACTGCATATTTAGAGGTTTAGAGTCGAGGGGTATGTAGTTCTTCTCTGTGTGCCTAAGAACAGTAAAATGCACAAGCTAAGATTAACAATCTCATAAAATGAAGAGTAAGTTGAGAACTAGTCAAAAAGGACACCCAATAAAACTTTAAGTCTTCATTTCCTCCTACATTCTCTTTGTGGTCACTAGGACATAAAATGCCGAAGACTCATTGGCATTGGATTTGAACTGCCAACACAAAGTCAAGCTCCTTAAATCTACCAAAGTACTTTTTTGGAACCAAGGAGAGCAGACCAGCGATGCAGGAAAACATCTATGCCAGTTCTAAAATGTAGAAAACCCTAAACTTAATAGACAATCCGCGTTGATAGAAGATGAAGATATGGCAATGTTTCTTGTGTTTATGTGCTGAGGACATTACCTGCCACACCATTGGATTCAGAATGATCTTTCGTCCTTCCTCTGACAGAGTTCTGTGTTTGAACATTGATGAGCTCATGGACTGCAATGCGTGGGCCGCAGCATAAACTGCATTGTAGACACTATAGCTATGGGGAGTTATGCTCAAGTCAAAAATAGACCTAGGAAGAGCCTCTAGCTTTTCCTCCCCACTGCAGCGATTCCAAACATTTTCCTCTTCTATGGATGTTTGGAAGGAACAATCAAATGCCTGTTTCCAAAAGTCCTTAATAAACCCATCTCTGGTTTCCACATTAGGGTTTCTCGTCTGAAGAAAATTTTGGAAACCTTCCACCTCCTTTGACTGGGTTGCAAAAGCTAGGACACCATGAAGGATATCTATATCTGAAGATCGTTGGAAGGGAACAGAAGTGAACTCCATCTGTGCTGTCATCATCCACACTTTGCCTGTCTTCATTGGCAGGTCTTCAATTTCTGAAATTCTGGGAAACATTCTCAGAAAGATTGTAACATGAATTTCACCATGTATGAACACAACACAGACTGTGCTATTAATTATCAATTTGTATACTTTGAACCATGATTCTATCATTTCATGAACACCAGTTTTAAAATATAGGGTTGGCAATGGTTCTATAAAGTCAAAGCAGATACCTCCCTGGGAAAATTTGGGAATTTCATTCTGTACAAACCTGAGGCCATTCTCATCCTCTATAAAAATGACACCAATCCAGGTCCATGTGAAAAGCAAAAGCAGCTGGAGCATCCCGACATACTGTTGGTTCCTATTAGGGAACATCCATTGGAAGAAGACTTGCTGGGATGGGTCATGAATCACAGGAGAAGAACCATATCCAAGCTATAAAGAAAAGAAGGGCTGAGTAAGTAGGATGAATGTGGTAAAGATTTAGTGTCTGAAGGGTGTGTATTCATCTCATGTTCTGAGACTGGGTGGAATAAGGATGAAAACGAGGGAGAACCATGTCCCATTAGCAGAGCTTAACTATTTCTATTTTCCAAGATTTGAGAGTGGGAGGCACGGAGTTGGGAAGTATTTGGTTTTGTTTTTTTTAACAGTTTATTAAAGAAATTATATTATAGGAAATCATGGTACCAGTCTGGAATAACCATATATATTTTGCCATGAGGTTTAATTTTTTGAGAATAATTTCCCAAAGGATGAGAAACAATGGTATTTTTTCTGAAGAAGAAATGTACTTTTTGGTGGCCATCTTATGAATTCTAAAATTATTCTGGGAAAGAAACAAATACAAGTAACCAAATGAGTAAAGTTTTATTATTACTTTGTAAAATATATAGACCATATGAATTAAGACCATTAACAAGATTTGGAGAATGGTGTTGCATGGAACCACAATGCAGTTTGTGAATTCTTTAAGAAAGCGTGGGAAATACATTCCTCTGGGGAGTTAAATTAGTTCCTTCTAACCACCACCACCAATTTATTTATTTATTTGGGAAGTTGCCTGCTGATTTTAGTAGCATGACTTAGCAGAATGGAGTCCTCGTTGGTGGAAAAATCCAATGAAATTTCCAAATAGTTTTCAAAGGTTTGTTCAGTCCCGATGGCTGCAAGGAGATTCTGTGCTTGGATAGGATGTTATTGATGGCTTTTGCATCAGAAAAATTATCACTGAAAAAGTATAGGTTGATCCATACATTTCATTGTACTGCAATATATATGGGTGACAATAAACTAATCTATGACTGGTGCTAGTCTTCTTTTACTGAAGTTTTGGTATTTGAAACCAGGAACTCTTAATAGTTGTCCTTGGCTATGAACCCAGAGCTTCTGTGAAACACAGGGGTCTCAAGAGGGGCTTTCAAAATAATCCATAAAGAAGGTGTGGCATTATAATTGAAGGTCCAGTCTTTTTGCACACATCATTAAAAAAAACAAAACCCTGATTGTAATGTTTAAGAAAATACAGGGAAAATAATTTACAACAAAGAAAAAGGCTAAATAAAAAAAGAAGAAGAAGAGAAATATGAAGATCTTATTAAGAGGATTTAACAGATAATCTAATTTGTTATTCATATTAATTGCCAAAACAAACAACAAAATAACACACAAAAAGAAAACAAATAACAAATTTAATATAACAATAGCATGTGAAATTGCCACATGTACAAGAGTTAGAGCTCCAAAAGGTGACGCTGTGCCCCTCTTGCTTTTTATGACACACACAAACACAAACACACACTCACTCACTCACATACTCCTGGCAGATGTTGCTGCTCTGAAATATCTCCCATCCAATCTCCAAATTATGTTTCTATGACTTTTTCTCCTGTTTAAATACCATTCTAAAGGAAGGCTTTATGAATTTATGATGTCATTCAACCATGGATTTCAGTGCGCTGTATGGTGTGGCTGTCTGTGTGTGTGTGCATGTCTGTGTCTGTTCTTGGCCAGGGTATGTAGTTTTATCAGTAGGGAAGTTCTGCATCTTCCCACTATCAAAATTTGCCCTGCACATTTTGGACCTTCAGAGAATGTATCTGCCCAATACATACCGCAATGAATATTAAGAACTTCCACATTGTGTAGAAATATTTTAAAAATGCCATCCTGACTTCAGAGGGGAGCAGGCAGTCACTGGCATTAGTTTCATTTTCTTACCAGTAGAGGACCTGGCAATTCACTTCAGCTTTCAGTTCTTAAAGATCTGGTTCATCCTTAACTTATCTTTCAAAATTATGGAGCTCTACTGATGTGATTCATAGGGTATCACTTTTATGTGATATTCAACTATTTTTACACATTCCATTCCAAATTACCCACTGAGGAATAATATTTCTCAGTATTGTATTGCAGATAGAGACTACATCAAGACTGAAGGGTCATACTGCTAGTTTGTTCCAGGCACAAAGCCTTGTGTGCACATCTTACCTGTGGAACCTTGTAGATGCTCAGAATGGTTGCCATAAAGGAAGTCACATCTGAGTTGGGTCCCCCAATGACTGCGACAGTGTTATCTTTACTATCACACTTGTAGTTAGGGATGAAGTTGGTCCATGTGGAGAGAAGCTCCAGTGAGGCGAGGTAAGTCCAACTTGCAACAAAATGGCTATTATAAATGTGGAAGCCCAGGGAGATATTCGGTAATATCTGAGGATTTTTGTTAATCTCCATTACGGCAAATGCAAAGGCCAGGATATGTTGATAAATCTGAGTCACAAATCTGCAGTTTGATTTACATGCTGAATGAGTGCAGTGGTTGAAGAAATAGTCTTGCTAAATTTTCATGCAAAGCAAATATTTATGCCATACAATCAGAGATGTCTTAAAATATCTATTTAACAGTGATATTTATCTGGAAGCCATGATGGGATTCATTCCCATCTGGAGTGAGAAAAATTAGCTTTCTATTGTTTTTGATTCATTTGCATTCATCCATCCATCTTAGAGGGGAGAAGCCACTTAAGTGTTTATGTAATTTCAGAGCTGTTTATGAAACTTGCTCATATTCACAGGAAGGGTTATCAAAATTAATGTCCGACTTCCACATGATGTATGCAGCTGACGTCTGGTGAACAAATAATCATTACCATCTCATTTCTTTTTAGAAACCTCTCAGGTAGGCAAGAAATTGAATCTAGTGTACAGAATACTTTTATGTGGGACATAATATCTGGGACTTCATATTGGGAAATATTATGTGGGAGTGGGTAGGAGAATGAAGACTCCAATAAGGAATTTCATCTATACTCATGGATTACCAGCTAAGTGGACAACTACTACCACTAGTGCAAAATAGTCCCTACCACTTATGCCAGCAAGAGATTCTTTCCCATTCAT